AAAGCTTCAGAAATAAAGTCACCGAAAATATTCAAAACAGTGATTTATGAGATGGGCCTGCCATAGCTCTTAAACGTATTTTTATTGTACCACAATCTGCTACAGCCAGGCACTACAGAAAGCACAGCAAAAATGGTGGTTCCTGTTGCAGAGCGTTTTAGCACATGGTTGTTCACCAGGCTCAGTATCAGCCCGCACATTTTAGCGCAGCAAGATTCAGTTTAAACTTAACCATTATGAGCTCCTCAAAAAGCCAAGGAAGTTTAGAGCAGGTCTGTGAGCAGATAACAGCTGCCGAGATAAACCAGCGTCCTACCTTAACAAACACTTGCATTTCACTCCCAACTATAAGACTTCGGTCTGAATGGCTTTGTATTTACAAAGTGTCTCGATTACGCTAAAAAGAATTATTTTTTAAATAGGTGGGAATTTTTTTAGGTTGTCTGAACTTCCCATGCAACGCCAGCTCAGTGCTTTCATTCCCTTGGGAGCCTTCTCCAAGAAACGTTACAGAAATTAACTAAAAAAAAACATAGAAAAGAATGCATCTTCCATTCTCCAGTGTTTGAAATCACGCATTCATAAAAGTAAATGTTTGAAGGGAAGCTGATCAATCATATACTCACCCAGCCAGCAGTAAAAGTGTCCTAATAATCCAAGTTAATATTAAAACCTGTAAAGTAATAGAAGGCAAACCACTTCTCTTTTTTTAATCCCTTCTCATATTTCCTCCCAGTTAGTGGATGCTATTCACTTTTCACTCCTAACCAGGAGATTTTAACAAATAAAACTTGCTTAAATTGGCACAACTGAAAGCTTTCAATCTAGCATTCTTCCTAATTTAAGCCTTTTCACTTAAGTAATACCAGTGAACTGTGAGGTGGCTCACCTCACCCTCAGAAGGATGAGGGAACAGAACGATTTTGCAGGTTTATTTTTCAGTAAGTTTATATGAAAACAGAGAAGTGCTTTATCCACCTCTCACAGGTTTCTGAGGCGACCTGCTTTGCCTGTGTAACATTTTGGGGAAGGACAGGAGGGCACAACACTGAACACAAGCTGCAGTTTGAACACTTAAGAAGTTCCAACTTATTTTTCCAGTAAGTTTGAACATACATATAAATGCCAACTTATTTTTGTGGTCAGTTTTCCCATCTTCTGCCATGGCCTCCTGAAGCTGGGAGGACATTCAGTGTATCTGGGGGTATTATTCAGTATTCAATGGAGCCCTGCATTCTGTTTTGCAACATCAAGGAAAAAAGGACCCAGCTTCTAAAGAAGAATTTTCACAAGTAATGTATTAAACTAATAATCTCCACGCCTATAATGCTTATGTAGGCTGTATTTTGCCCCCTCTGTTTAAAAGGGCCGAGCTAATATCGGTCAGTCAGTCTGCCCGTAGTTAGAAATATCAAACACAGATGCTGAAAGTTCTTTCTCTTTTCCTTGAGAATTTGTTCAGAACTTTCCTATTATGCACAATATCATGCAACTCTGAAGACTACGCTTACATAAACACTCTGAAATACACTGACAATTTAAAGCCATGGATATCTTCCTTTCTCACTCACTGGATTCTTATAGAGCTGGCTCATAACATACATTTTCCATTCCCACCCCAAGCAACAGCATTTTTTTTTGCTTTACATTTAGCCACGCATTCTTTGTTCACCAAACTGCAAAACCTTGATGTAGCACTATGCTGGCAGGAGAAGTAGTGAACTTCCTGATCAAGCCCACAACACTACCAATACACATGACTAAGATTTTACTACTTGGAATAATCTCCCTGTTTCATGGGATAGTACTGTGAGCCAAAAGCCTGTTTTGCTACAGAACAAGATCACAACTTCGACAGTTTCCATTTTAGATACATTTTGGCTGAATCCAGAGTTTTTGGTTTCTCTAACACGCCATCTCTAACTTCTGATTGCTGAAGAATTTCAGATCATTATGCAAAACCACAACCACGTATTTCCAGACACCAGTTCTACACCCTCGCCTCAGAATCACCACAGACAAATAACCCAACATGTTTTCTCAATATTTAAAGCCACAAAAGCTTCCTATATCGTAAGAATGAAAAAAAAAAATCTTTTAGAAGTTACATTGAATAGTCCTTGATAAACCTGAACATGTCACATGACCCAAGACCTTGCCAGCCTCAAGCCACAAGCAAGAATAGTCAGAAACCACAAGCCAAAAAAAAAAAAAAAAAACCAACCCCAAAAAAACACATAAGCTCAATTTCTGATCTCAGTCACCATGTTTTAAATCCATTACAACTTCAGACATTGGATTATTCTAGATACATACTAATTTCAGAGTAATTTAGCCAGAAATCTGATTAAACCCAAAAGATTAGATTTTATTTGACAAGCATCAGCTATCACCAACTTCCAGCTTCCTCCAAAGAGAGAGTCACCCGTCGGTTATCGACCTGAGAGAGCAAAAGTTGAAAGAATATTTTGCTCTCAGCCGACAGGCACTCACACCCTTGGTTATACACCAGCTATTCAGCTCAGCAGTTTAAAAAGAGATGGAGGGGACGTTTGTAAAAATCCTTTTCGAAACAGTACAGTGTCTGTTGCTAATTAAGAAAACCTCAATGAAGCACACAGCAAAAAAAGGGTCTAAAACCAACATAAACAGTTAAGGACAATAAACGCAAGCGAGCCCCTCTAGTGCTTGCTTCCCTCCTGGGAGGCCGATGATGGAAACCAGACCTCAGCGCCAGGTACAAGCGCACAGGCATGTGCGGGGCCCACGCCAACCGTTGAATCTCAGGGAGCAGAGACGAGCACGAACGCCTTCCTCCCCTACACGGCAAGCTCGCACACCATTTCCTTCTCCACCTCCAGCTTACCTGCTTTCCAAGACAGCCTGCCACTCAATGAAGCGCCTCCTTTAAAAGTTTCTGCCATCTGACCACCACGCTGGTTCTGCAAACCCCCCCCAGGGCACCCCAAGCTGGCTCCCTCAGCACCCCTTTCCCCACACCGCCTCCCTCACTACCTCTCACGGGTGTCCCCCACCCACAGGCCCCTCCTGACCCAGCCCCAAACCCTCCAACCCCCAGATAACTCCCCCCGAAGCTCCTCCTCCGATCCAACCCCCTTAACCCAGCTCCTCGAAAGCCTCCGGCCCCGGCTGACACCCCCGACCCGCCTCAAAACTCCGACAGCTCACCCCGACCCTCCTCCGCGAGCCCTTCAGCCCCCCCCGGCCGGCCCTCCGACCCAGCCTCCCTCAGCAGCCCCCCCGCCCGGCCCGCCGCTCCCCTCAGGCCCGCGGGACACCGCGGCCCGCCCGCCAGCCCCGGTGTGTCCCCCCCGCACCCCCTCAGCTTCCCCACGCCTCCCGCGGACCGGGCGCCCCAGCTCACCCGGGTTGGCGGCGGTCGCTGCCATGGCCGGCGCGGGGACCCCAACCGCCGCCACCCCCCCCCCCGGCCTCCCTCCTCGCCGCCACTGCCAAGATGGCGGCACAGGAAAACCCTCTGCGCTACCGCGCAGCCTAACATGCCCGCCGAGAGGGGCGGGACGGGAAGGAAGCGCAGAGCTCCTATTGGTTCAGCCTGAGGGCGGCGGGGCGGGGCGAGCGCGCTCGGCGGTGCAGCCAGCAGGGTAGGGTGAGCGCGGCCATGCCCCGCCCCTACCACGGGAGGGGGGAGGGACTTTGGGAGGGGGCGTGGCCACTGCGGGGGTGTGTGGCGAGGGGCGCGCGCGTGGGGCGAGTTAAAGGTCGGGTTGGGTGACGTCACGTGTTGGTTTTTTGGGTTGTGGTTTGGTTTTTTTTTTTTTTTTGTCGGCTGGCAAGAATCCTGCTGGAACCGGGATTTGAACTGGGGTTAGGGCTGGGACTGGGATGGGGAGTGAGGGTTCAGACTGGGAATGGGGTTTGGGCTGGGACTGGGGGGGCACCAGTACAGTGTTAATTAGGGCTGATTGGGGGTCCCCCCCGGGCACCGCCAGGACCCCAAAACTCAGCTTTTGCCGAAAAATCACCAGAAAAACCACCCCGTGCCAGCTGGGGGGCACTCGCAGGGGTGGCAAAGCTTTGCCGTAAGATAATCCTCTTCCTCAGTGACCCTTTTTCCTCTTGGGGGTGAAAAAATAAAGAAACCCGACGGAGCAGGGGCATTTCTGTAGTGTTTAAACCATTTGTTGCGAGGCTGTTTCACAAGAGCCCAACGGGCGGCTCAGTTCAAAGCCCAGTGCGTCGCAGCTTCAAAGAGTTTTCCCCCGTTTCGTCCAAAATGAGCCAAGGACCAGCTCTAAATTATCTCGCAGGGCTGGGGAGGACCTTGCTCCTGCTGCATTTTGGAGATAAATCCTCCTCGCCACCCCTCAGTTCACCCCGTGTCCCCGCGAAGGGAGCCCAGAGCCCTCGCCCGCCGGGCGAAGGGGGTGCTGGAAATTGCGGGTGAGAATTTAATCCCCTGGATTGTTTCTCCCCATTACTGGGAGCGCCTGAAAGGCGACGCCGCCACATTCCTGCAGTATTCATGAAGCCCCAGTGACGGCGAAGGAACCGGGGACCAGCGGGGCAGGGAGAGGGGCACAGCGTCCGTCCGTCCGTCCGTCTGTCCGTCTGGCCACAGGGAGGTAAGGAGCTGCCCCAGTCAGCGCTCATGGGACAGGGCTGGGACCTGGGGGCTTCCCACAATCCCAGGACTCGGTCCTGGTGATTTATGTGCTGTCCTTGGCATAGTTAGGGCTGTGGTCATCTACTCCTGGAGTGTGTTAGTTTTACAAACACATTAAAAAAAAAAAAAAAATATATATATATAGGCATACGCCTATATACACACAGCTCGGTCCACGTGGCTCTGCTGGCGCCACTCAACAAGCCTCCACCTCTCCCCCAACCTTGTACAAATCTAATTATCTGTCCGCTGCCACAAATGTCTCTCTTCAGCAAAGAGAAAAAATTTATTTTCCACCCATGTTTGCTCACCGGTGGTTTTTCCTCCTGTCCTGCTTCCCATCCCAGCCAGTGTCTGTCTTGCCGGAGGTCAGCCAAGCTCGTTGCACCTAATGCAGCTGGGAGTGAGGGGTCCTGTGGGAAAAAAAAAAAACAAACAAACAAAACCAAACAATTTAATAGGGATATTTTAACCTGCTTTTTCCTGGGAAATGAGGGAAGGGCGGGGAAGGGAAGCTGGAAGGGGCGGCAGGGTGAGACGACAATGATCCCTGTGGTGAGGGCGCCTGGGAGAAGGATGGGAAGACACTGGGTGTCCCCCAAACCACAACCGGCAGCCGTGACGAGGAGCAGAGGGGGTCTCGAGGAAATTTTGGGCTGCCTTTGACACCCGTCCCGGGTACTTCCCCTGCACTGCGACCCGCTCGGCCCCCGTGAATCCCACCCGCCTCTGCCCCACAGGGATGCCGGCGGCAGGCGGGCACGTGGGGCCGCGCACCTGAGGGCCGCCCGCATGGAGAACGCCACGGCACCGCCGGCCGTCGACCTGGACAAGGGCTTTGCCGTGGCCTTCGTGGTCCTCATGTGCCTCTTCCTCCTGGCCATGATGGTGCGGTGCGCCAAGCTCATCGTGGATCCCTACAGCGCCGTCCCGACCTCCACCTGGGAAGAGGAGCAGATCAACTGAGCCGGGGCGAGCTGGCCCCCAGGAACCCCTGCACCCCCCTGGGACCACGGCCCCCCAGCACAGCCCCCTCAGCACTGGGTGCTCCAGGGCACCCCAGGGCCCTCCAGCACCGTGGAGGCCCCAGCACCCTCAGAGCCACCCACTGCCCCCCAGCACCCTTGGAGCCACCCATCATACCCCAGCACCCTTAGAGCTCCCCATCACCCTCCAGGGCCCCCCAAGACCCCTCAGAGCTCCCCATCACTCCCTCAAGGCCCTCATCACCCTCAGAGCCACCCATCACCCTCAGAGCTCCCCACTGCCCCCCAGCACCCTCAGAGCTCCCCACCGACCCCCAGCACCCTCAGAGCTCCCCACTGCCCCCCAGCACCCTCAGAGCTCCCCACTGACCCCCAGCACCCTCAGAGCTCCCCACCAACCCCCAGCACCCTCAGAGTTCCCCACCACCCCCCAGCACCCTCAGAGCTCCCCACTGACCCCCAGCACCCTCAGAGCTCCCCACTGCCCCCCAGCACTCCCAGGGCTCCCCAGCACCCTGCCCTCCCAGCACCCTCAGAGCCGCCCATCATACCCCAGCACCCTCAGAGCTCCCCCATCACCCTCCAGGGCCCCTTGAGACCCCTCAGACCTCCCCATCAGCTCCCCCCATTGACCCTCAGCACCCTCAGTGCTCCCCATCAGCTCCCCCCATTGACCCCCAGCACTCTCAGAGCTCCCCATCACTCCCCAGCACCCCTAGAGCTCCTTACCACCCCTCAGAATTTGTCATTGCCCCCCAGAGCTCTCCATCACCCCCCCCAGCACCCCTAGATCTCTCCCCATCATCCTCCAGGGCCCCCCAAATCCTCTCAGAGCTCCCTATCATATCCCACATTGACACCCAGCACCCTCAGAGTTCCCCACTGACCCCCAGCACCCTCAGAGTTCCCCACCGCCCCCCAGCACCCTCAGAGCTCCCCACTGCCCCCCAGCACCCTCAGAGCTCCTCACTGCCCCCCAGCACCCTCAGAGTTCCCCACCGCCCCCCAGCACCCTCAGAGCTCCCCACCGACCCCCAGCACCCTCAGAGCTCCCCACTGCCCCCCAGCACCCTCAGAGTTCCCCACCGACCCCCAGCACCCTCAGAGCTCCCCACTGCCCCCCAGCACTCCCAGGGCTCCCCAGCACCCTGCCCCCCCCAGCACCCTCAGAGCCGCCCATCATACCCCAGCACCCCTAGTGCTCCCCCATCACCCTCCAGGGCCCCTTGAGACCCCTCAGACCTCCCCATCAGCTCCCCCCATTGACCCCCAGCACTCTCAGAGCTCCCCATCACTCCCCAGCACCCCTAGATCTCTCCCCATCATCCTCCAGGGCCCCCCAGATCCTCTCAGAGCTCCCCATCAGATCCCACATCGACCCCCAGCACCCTCAGAGCTCCCCACTGACCCCCAGCACCCTCAGAGTTGCCCACCGACCCCCAGCACCCTCAGAGTTCCCCACCGCCCCCCAGCACCCTCAGAGCTCCCCACTGCCCCCCAGCACCCTCAGAGCTCCCAACTGCCCCCCAGCACCCTCAGAGTTCCCCACCGACCCCCAGCACCCTCAGAGCTCCCCACTGCCCCCCAGCACTCCCAGGGCTCCCCAGCACCCTGCCCCCCCCAGCACCCTCAGAGCCGCCCATCATACCCCAGCACCCTCAGTACTCCCCCATCACCCTCCAGTGCCCCTTGAGACCCCTCAGAGCTCCCCATCAGCTCCCCCCATTGACCCTCAGCACCCTCAGTGCTCCCCATTAGCTCCCCCCATTGACCCCCAGCACTCTCAGAGCTCCCCATCACTCCCCAGCACCCCTAGAGCTCCTTACCACCCCTCAGAATTTGCCATTGCCCCCCAGAGCTCTCCATCACCCCCCAGCACCCCTAGATCTCTCCCCATCATCCTCCAGGGCCCCCCAAATCCTCTCAGAGCTCCCCATCAGATCCCACATCGACCCCCAGCATCCTCAGAGCTCCCCACCGACCCCCAGCACCCTCAGAGCTCCCCACTGCCCCCCAGCACCCTCAGAGCTCCCCACTAACCCCCAGCACCCTCAGAGTTCTCCACCGCCCCCCAGCACCCTCAGAGCTCCTCACTGCCCCCCAGCACCCTCAGAGTTCCCCACCGCCCCCCAGCACCCTCAGAGTTCCCCACCGCCCCCCAGCACCCTCAGAGCTCCCCACCGACCCCCAGCACCCTGAGCTCCCCACCGACCCCCAGCACCCTCAGAGTTCCCCACCGCCCCCCAGCACCCTCAGAGCTCCCCACTGACCCCCAGCACCCTCAGAGCTCCCCACTGCCCCCCAGCACTCCCAGGGCTCCCCAGCACCCTGCCCCCCCCAGCACCCTCCAGTGCCCCTTGAGACCCCTCAGTGCTCCCCATCAGCTCCCCCCATTGACCCCCAGCACTCTCAGAGCTCCCCATCACTCCCCAGCACCCCTAGAGCTCCTTACCACCCCTCAGAATTTGCCATTGCCCCCCAGAGCTCTCCATCACCCCCCCCAGCACCCCTAGATCTCTCCCCATCATCCTCCAGGGCCCCCCAGATCCTCTCAGAGCTCCCCATCAGATCCCACATCGACCCCCAGCACCCTCAGAGTTCCCCACTGACCCCCAGCACCCTCAGAGCTCCCCACTGACCCCCAGCACCCTCAGAGTTCCCCACTGTCCCCCAGCGCCCCCAGAGCTCCCCAGCACCCCTCAGTGTCCTCCCCCTCGGCCCCTCAGAGCTCCCCCCTTTGCTCCCCCGGGGCCCACCCTGGCCCCATCACCTCAGAGCCACCAGTAACCCCAGTGCCCACCCACCCTCCCGGGGCATCCCAGCACCCTCCCCGGCCCCTCAGGGTTAACCCGGCCCCTCAGAGCCCCCCCCCGGCCCCCCAGCCACCTTCCTTTAGGTGGCAGCATCGAGCCTTTCCCAGGGCGCTGCCCCTTTAAGCGCCTCTGGCTCCGCCCCCCCCCGCGCAGGCGCCTTGGCCAGCCCCCCCCGCGGGCTGCCGGGAAGGGGCGCTCTCGCGCATGCGCAGTGCGGCAGGGGTGGGTCGGGCTCCTCGGGCTGCGGTTCTCGGAAGTGTCGTCGAGCGGCTTCCGGTTTGGAACGACACCCGCTTTCCCCCCCCCTTCCCCCTCTTTTTCTCCTTCTCCCCGACAGCCGGAATCGCGGCGACCCCCGGGGTTCCGGTGAGTGCGGCTGGCCCGGCCCGGGGCGGGCTGGGGGGCGGCTGTGGGGCAGGGGGGTTCGGGAGGGGGCTTATGGGGTCAGGGGGGTCGGAGTTGGGGAGGGGGTGCGGGGGGCCTGTGGGGTGCAGGGTGATTGGGGAGGGGGTGTGTGTGGGGGCTATGGGGCACAGGGGAATTGAGGGGGGTGTCTGGGGGGCAGGGGGGTTGGGGAGGGGGGTGTGGGATTGTGGGGTGGGAGGTGTTGGGGGACTTTGTGGCAGCGCCGGGGTCAGATGGGCGTGTGGGGCAGGGGGAGGCGGGCGGGGGGGTGTGGGGAGGGACTGAGGGCGAGGAGGGGGCTGTGGGGCGGGGGGGAGGTGGGGTGAGGACTTGGGGGGGGGCGCTTGGGCTGAGAAGAGAGCATGAGGAGCTCCCCGGGTGTGAGGCGTGGGGTGGCCTTTGGGGCAGGGACTGCTACGGGCCAAGGGGTTGATGGCAACGTGCAAATATAAGGAAATTATACGTTTCTATATGTAATTAGATATAAACTGCGGGGCGTAAGAGGGAGCGTAAGGGCGCTAGGCATGGGGGGAGCGGAGGGTGGGGGGTTGATGGGCGCTGCAGCGGGGGCTGTGGTGGCACTGGGGGGGGTGCTGACAGGGCTGTTTGGGTGATAGGGTGCGTTTGGGGGGGGGTGCAGGTGCGGTTGGGGGGGGCCGTGGGCTCCCTTTGCATCTGTAGGGCTGGGGGAGGGTGGGGGGGTTGTGGCGGGGGGGGGGGGGGGCGAGGGGCTGCTCACGCACAGGCAGGGTGAGGTGAGAGGTGAGGAACCCCGCGGGAAGGTGCTGTCGAGCGCCGCGGGCTCGGAGATGGTGGAGGCTGCTTGGAATTTTCACCAGGCCCGGCTCGAGCGGAGCCGCCGGGGCCGTGGAGCCGGGCAGAGGAAACTGCTGGGGCCGTCCTTGGGGCTGGGCGGTGTAAAATGGTCCGTGATCCCCGCGGGCAGGGACAGACAGGAGCTCCCCTGGGCCACTGGTGGGTTGGGTCGGGAGAGGCGTCTGCCTGGTGCTGCTCCCAGGACAGGCAGCAGGTTGGGGACCGTTGGAGAGGAGAGGGTGCTGAGGGGGCGAGGCGTGAGGCTCCGGCATTTGGAGGGTCTGTGGAGGGATCGGAGGAGACGGCAGCAATCCCTGGTCGTCCTCTGGCTCCGCAGTGTGCTTGCACCTTGCTTGTTTTGGGCTCCTTGTGATCTTATCTTAACCACATATAGAGCATTTTGTTCCTGACTAGCTTTCAAAAAACGGAGCTTACGCTCTTGTGAGCGCCATGTCTCAGAGGTTTCACCGGCCTTTTCTACCCAGTTTGTGGTGTCAGGTGCAGCAGAAATGGATTCCCAGGAGATCAAAGAGCTGCAGCAAGAAGTGATGGAGGAGCTGGGAATCTCCATGGAGGAGCTCCAGGATATCATCGACAAAGAGCTGGAGAAGTTTGAGTGTGTGAAGCAGAGGAAGCAGCAGCTGGAGGAGCTGGAGAAGTGCGTGAAGCAGAAGGAAGAAGAGGTGGCTCGCGTTGACCGGCTCTTTGACGACGCTTCAAGGTGGGCACGCTCGGAATCGCAGCCGCGTGTCAGAGTTGGGGCTGAGAGCAGAGGAGGGCGAGATGGGCTGGCAGGGTCCCATGTCCTGAGTCCTGCCCCTTTCCCTTCAGGGTAGACTGACCCTGTGACTCTGCATCAGTTCGTTTGCGTGTGGTTATTGAGGGATAATTAAAATTATTTCTCTGTGGTGTTAAGTCCTTCATGTGAATACTCTTCCCTCGCCTCATCATGGTTGTATTTAATTAGCAGCTCCCCAGCGGTCGGTTTCTCTTTATTTCTGCAGTATTGTGGGATGCACAGCTGGGCTCACCTTGTCTTCTCCCATCTCTGCCCTTCTGTTTTTTTCCCCAGAGCCATTGATAAATGCGAGATACTGGTGAAGGACCTGTACTCCAAGCTGGGCCTGCAGTACCGGGAGAGCAGCTCCGAGGACGAGGACTTGGCTGCCAAGCCCATGGAAGTGATTGAGATCCCGGATGAGGACGACGATGATGTCATGAGTATCGGTTCAGGCTGGAGGCACAGTTCAGTATCTCGCTGTGCTGCATGGTACCGAGGGGAGGGTCGGGGATCTGAGTGTGTCCTGAAGCGTGGGAGTAGGAGGGATTGGAATAAGGATATCGTGAAGTTGGCTGTAAGCCGGGCCGGGCTGTAAGCAGGAGAAAATGCCGTTAGCTCATGAAGAACATCACCGCTCGCGTGGTCTGCAAGGCCCCTCACTGTTCCATGCTTCCTGGAGTCCCAAACTGGGACTTCTCCCTTTTCCCACCTGCCTTGTCGTCCCCATGGAATGCTGTCCCTGTGGGGCAGCTGCCTGTGCAGCACGTCCTGTGTGTGGAAACGGTGGCTTAGTAGAAGCCTTGCTTGAGTGGATTTCTTGACAGGGACAGAGAAGGCTTTCTCTGTTCCCTCTTCGTTTGGTAACTTAACTAGGATGGATTTTTTTATTCCCCAAAATGTATTAAACCACTTTTTCCTCTTTAAACACAGGCAATAGTCCCAGAATCGTAAAGGATCAGACTCTGGTGAGTTGGAAAAGACCTGACTGTAGTGTATTTCTGAAGGGGGGGTTGCTGGAATGCTTAGAACAGCATTTCTTGTATTTGTGTAATTTGGTGCATTTGTGTATTTGTTGCAAAAAAGGAAAGGTTCTTCATATTTTCTTTCTCTTTCCTTCCCTTCAGCTGCGGGAAGCCATGGCTGCAATGAGAAGATCTGCCCAGGATGTTCAGAAATTTATGGATGCTGTGAATAAGAAAACAAATGCCCAGGATAGTCTAAAAGGTCAGTGTGCGAGAGCTTCCTGGTGCTGACAGATGTGTGCTGGCACCCGTGTGCGCCCCTACCCTGCTCCCTTCTGCCTCTTACTCCTGATGGTTTTCTCTCTGAAAAAGAAAAGAACTATTCAGTGTCCTTGCTGGAGAGACTCAGTAAGATATGTTGATTCCAAATTCCTGTTTTTCCTTAAGCCCCTTTCGAAAGCAAATACAAGTGCTGCAGTTTCCATAATGTGAAAGCTTTTTAATGATGTTTAAAAGCTTACTTGCTGCTTATTCCATCCAGTGAAAGCGAGACTCTTAGGCTGACTGAGGTGAGGGAAAGCAGGGACGCTTCCTGTCTCCGGTCCGACAGACGTCTTTGGGCAATTTCTAACTTACCTCCTGTTGTTGTTCCTTGGGTAGATGCACAAACCCCTCAGGAAACTCCTGGTGCTGTCCAGCCCGCTGGCCCTGCAGCGGCTGGGAGTGATCTCAGCAATGATGGTGATCTGAACGTTGGCATGAGGATCCTGGGCAAGAAGAGAACCAAAACGTGGCACAAAGGAACTCTGATTGCAATCCAGACGGTCGGTACGTCCGTGCTCGGTGCGGTGACACGGGGCGTGTGGCTGTCACTAGGCTTCGGGTGGGTGAGCTCAGTCAGGCTCGGAGCAGGTCCCCTCCCATGTCGGAGCACCTAGTGCCTCCTGGAATGAGTGGGAGAGCAGCACATCTCCGCTATAATATTTTACCTTCTAAATCAATTTCTGAAAGGCTTTCAAATGAGTTCTGAACGTGAATCAGAACGGGATAGGGTGCTGGACTTCTTGTGTGAAATCACTTGGGTTTTATTTACCTTGCCGCGTTGAAATGTCTTTCAGGTGCTGCAAAGAAGTACAAAGTGAAATTTGATAATAAAGGGAAGAGTTTGCTTTCTGGCAATCACATCGCTTACGACTATCACCCCTCGCCTGAGAAACACTACGTTGGCAGCAGGGTCGTGGCAAAGTACAAAGATGGGAATCAGGTTTGGCTGTATGCTGGCATTGTGGCTGAAACCCCAAACGTAAAGAATAAAGACAGGTATTAATTCTCCTCCGCAGTCGTGTAACCTGCTCTCTCTTTTTAGGAAAAAAAGAAAATAGAAAATTTGGATGTTTGCTGTTGTGGGAGCTAAACTCTTTTCTGCCCTTTCTGGGGACGTAGTTCTGAATGTTGTTTCTTCAGTCTGTCTTATCTCTGAAAGTTCTGAGTGGAGCTTCCATTCTATTACTCACGTCCCTGAGTCAGAAATTATATCTGGTAATTCATTCAAATTATCACACAAATGGAAGTCTGCACTGCTCAAGGCATAAAACACAGCGTTAGGAAAGATGAGCCCTAGAAGTGTTTAGTGCCAGCAGCGTTGCCAAAGCACTTAAGGAGAAGCAGCAGCAGGTCTCAAGCAGCCTTTTCAGTCGTGTATAAATAAGGGGCAGGGCTGCTTTGCTGCTGCGGTTTAGGCTTGTGGTCTTTCTGTGAAGATTCATAAAGGATAGAATCACCCTCTTTGTTTCAAATGGGGATCTGCCGTAAATGCCTAATCGTGTCAAGTTCTATCTGAGACGCGTTTAATAACTGAAAATGGACTGCATTTATTACTCCTGTTGCAAATTTACTCCTCCTGGCTAGGCTGGCTTGTAACGCTGAGCTCTCCTAATGCAGCCTCCCTATCCTGAAGTTACTATTCAGAGGCGCTCGCGCTAAGCGGGTGCCGTATCCAGCCTTGTGGGTATCCCCCTCCCAGCTCCCCGTCCCCCACAGGCACTGGGGACTCTCATGCTCGTCTCCTGTCTGCAGGTGGAGCTCCAAAGACATCTTTTCTTGCAGAGAGTAGGAGCGATTACACTGTCTTTTCCTTCACCTCCTGCGGCGGAGGCACGGAGGGAACCTGGAGCCGCGGGCAGGGGGGCTGGCTGCGCTG